CTATCCTAACAGGCAAAGAACACTTGTGATTGGTAGGACACTCACAGCACACATAAAAAACATGATATATGATACAGCACTAGTAGATATACATACGACAATAAGTCGCTTACACAAGTCAATGTCATTGGCATAAACGGTACGTTATGGCACAATTAATATGGCCTACATGAAACTCTACTACTGCATAAGAAGTCAATGAGCTAATAAGCACTGAAAATGTATCCCATTCCACTGTATTTAGACCCAGCGCTTCCAAAAGTGATAGTCTACAACAACAATAAGCTTGGGAAGACAAACAGACCAACTCCTCCTCCTCAAGTCACTTGAGGTGAAAAAGGCCCTTAACCCTGCTGTGTTTGTACATGCTGGGAAAACAGGGGCACCAGCAGTGTCATTCTAATGAGCATCTCTGAGAGGCTCAGTCCATGTGAAGCTACAGCACAGAGCTCAGCTACGGAGAGAGATGTGTTACCTGGCTAATGAGGCCGCTCTCAGGACACGGTTGCAGCTACAGCAGGATGGAGGGTGGAGACAAAGAGAGAAAGAGGTTGAGAACGGAGGAAAAAAAGAGAACGAGAGATAAGAGTAGGCTCTTCTAACCGACTTTTTCGTCTTACATGTGGGAACTTTTCGAGCTGCTGCTGTACATGGAAAAGGAAATGCTCTTTGGTGGTGCTCAAGTGATTTTGCTTTAACAGTCGGGTCACATCAAACAATAATACAGAGAATGAGATGTTGAGAATGTCTAGGGAAGCCCGAAACAACAATTCAGAACTGTTGTGAACAACCATATACCATGTCTCCAAAACAAAACATTCATATCACATATGTACAAGTAATTGGGGCTGCAAACGGCCTCCCCTTAAAATGATGCCTGCACTGTTGACCTCAATTCTCCAGTAGCACTACAGCAGGTATTGAAGGGTTAATTGGTGAAAAGAAAAGCATCACTGATGTTCTTCTGAACGTGTTCTGACAGCAGCCTTTAAAAGCCACTATCCAGGAGAGAGGAAGTGCAGCTCAAATCAATTTGTCCCAAAGTGACTGTCAGTGTGCCTCTCTCTCCCTCTCTCTCTCTCTCTCTCTATCGAACTCCAAGGAGCCTGATCCAGCTCTTCGTAGAAGGTGATGCTTTACACCCCAATGTGCAATCAGCGGAATATCCCTTTTTTTCACGGCTTATCTCTCCCCAGCGGGGCTCAGCACGGAAAGAGGCCCACGCGTCAGTGCTTGGCCAGATCCACTACTCATCCACAACCCCCCACCCCAACACAAGTGATGCCAGGTTAAAGATACTATGCATTACATGCAGAACTGTCATCATGATGATAGCAGGCGCTAGTGTCGAAAGGAATCAGATCACAGGGTGTCTTTGAGTGAAACTGGGAGGCCAAAACAATAAACAGCACAGACACTTGATGATTAGGATAAGCGGTTTCCACGATACATGAATGAAAGAATTAATGTCTTATATCTTATACAAATCCTTGATACACAATTTCTTACGGTGGTTAAAATTCATCACTTAGAAGATGGAACTTGTTACCTTGTTGTTAAGGCCAGCAGCAAAATAGTTGGACGCATGTATATCTCTTGATGACAGTTCATACACTTTAAAATGTATCCGACTATTACGGAAGGATCTCTGTACACTGAGTGGCGCTGGGCTGCTCAGAATGAAATTAAGAGCCAGAAGCAAAATCTCCTCAGGCAAGCTCACAAAGGACATGAATAGAGGACACCAGGGGGACATTTTTCATTTTTTCAATTTGCACAGCTTAAATAAAAAATAAGCTCCTTCTTGCATCTGCCATACCCACATACAGCCACCTCTAAAGAGGAATACAGTATACATGTGCGCTATATGGGCACAGTCTAGTCTTTTGAACATAGAATAATGAATCAAGTGAAAAGCCTGAATATATTATGCAAATGAGGTCCGAGAGCTTGACAGGACCCTGACCAGGCTAGTGGCAGTGCAGCAGTCATTTCCCATTCTGTCCACATGGTTTGACTTGGCTAAGCGTCACCTCCTCAGCAGTCACTCGAGAACAAGAAGAAACTCTCTTTTTCTCAGAAGTCTTGACCAAACTACTTAAGAATCAGCTCGACCACAGCTCCTCAGTTCTAAATACATTTAGTATGTTTTAGAACATCAAGTTAGTTTTGATCACAGGCAGGTTAAGAATTTAGAAACTGTAAATCTACATCATTCAGCTAAGCAATTCTCAGTGCACACTGCAAATTCCTGCTCAACGTACGACATGCTTGATACACAATATACCTCAGTGTTTCCCACAGATCTGAAATAAACCTTGCAGGGAGAACTATTGGAGGAGAGGTTATTTGAATTGCCTCATCATAGCATTTGTATGTGCACTACCTCAAAAATGGTAAACCGCCCATGTTTTTAGAAGTAAAGCAACTCATAGGCTTGGCTAAAGTAAAGTAAAAAGATCCCAGGGAAAAACAGTAGTGCTTTGCATCAAATAGCACTGTGTGCTACTGTTTACTCATAAAAATCAGAAATATTTTCTGTGAAATCTGTTCAAATTGGACCAAATAGAAATTGCATATTGTTAAGACTGGAAATATACTTGGGTGGCCGTCAATACACTATGGGGTGCCCAAGTGTAGGCTATGTATGGGAAACACTGTATCTACAGTATCGAAACACTTAATTAGTGAATTCAGCCACTTTAAGACACATCTGCTGCTGACACAGGTGTTCACTTGTGTGCACACAGCTTGTATAATGTCTATAGAAATGCAATGCTAACAGAATTAGACCCTCACATGAGTGTGAGGTCGCCATTCCCAAACTTCCCAGCACTGAGCTGTGGAGCAGTGGAACTGCGTTCTCTGGCATGATTTAGCACCACCTGATACCTTTGGGATGAGTCAGAGTAGTGTTTGGGATCCAGAACTAATCATCTAACATCAGTACCTGACCTCACTGTTGCTCTTGTGACTGAACGTACTCACATCCTCACATCAATGTTGCAACATCTAGTGTAAAGCCTTCCTAGATGAGTAGAAACAGTTACTGCAGCAAAGAGGGACAAACTCCCTATTAATAGCATTGATTTCAGAAGAAACTTTGGATGAGCAGGTGTCTACCTAATAAGTGTGTCACAACAAAGAAAGCAGCAATGTGCAGTACATGGCGCTGGAGTTCCTAGGATGGAGGCTGAGAATCCCTGTGTTCAACCATTCTCGAATGCCATTCTTGTTGATTCTAGATTAATTTTGCATCAGCTCACAGATGTCAGCCTGTTTCTTCACTGTACACCATCAGGCCCATTACTCTCCCATGTGACAGTTCTGGGTTATGCAGCGCTGCTATAATCACAGTCCCTAAGATGACCCTCTTCCCGTATTATCAGTGTTCCTCTGAAAACATCACCCTTCCCCCAGATGAGCTCCTAGACATTAAACAATGACCTGAGGGGCCTACTCTACAGCACTGTAGCCTAAAATTACAATACAGAACCAAGAGTAGCCATCTGGAAGGACTGCACTGTTTTGAGGACAGGTCACTACTGTACACTGAGAATAAAGTATTAAACATTGTGTACACTAGCTCAACAAGTCTACTGTACAGATACCATACAACTGAATATCTAGAAAGTGCTGACATACCTGCATCTCTCTCATTTACTGTCTTTCAACAGAACTATTGACTGGAATCAGCAGAATTGCTGCCAAAGTTCTCATAAAAGACAAGATCTGTCCTTGAAACATCTCAGAAAAGACTGCTTCATACAGATGGCTTGTCCTTATCAGAATGGCAGTGCACTGAACAAATCTCTTGGCACTAAACAATTGATTTTTTGTATTTCCTGCAGAACATTACCAATAGCACCATTTGTCACCTAACAACACAGGGAATGAAAGCTGGTCCTTACTGATACTGGACCAAACCAGCATTTGTCGATGTTAAACCTGGTTTTAGAACAAAACAGTAAACGTTTTCACTTTCTTAACAAAATCTTACTGTAAGAGAGCAAAAATAGGCAAATATTTTCAGACATAACCCCAACTACAGAAACTAGCATGCATCTTTTGATTGCAGTAATAACAGTTATTTTCAAAGTTGGAGCACACCCTATTCAAATGACCAAACCATCAACTGATTTCATCACAGAAGGCAGACCATGTAATTAGCTTGGACAGTTTTGTATATGCCATTACAATTCCCTCTCTTTTTTTTTCTTTTTTCATTTCTTTTTTAATTCATCCGCCTCTTTTCAGTCATACCAGCATAGCAAATCCACAAGATAAAGCTTATTCCAGTGTTACTGGGACAACACACCAGCACACACAATGGAAACACAGCACTGAAAAGAGATTGGGCGAATAAATGGAAGGCTAGAATCTTACTGAAAAGAACGGGAGAAGAATAGAGCAACTGTATTACACGCAGGACGCCGGGGATGTGGGAGGGAGGAGACGGGGGGATTCACCAGCAAATATACACAGCAGGAGACGAACGAAAGATTTAAATTGCTCCACTATAGCCAGCTGTGCTGCTCAACTGCTCATTTAACATGGATTATGTTTTTTATACAGCCTCGTTTTGCTTGATAATCGAATAAATGAAGAATTATATGCATATTCATTGTGATCAGTGGAAGAGGCAGGCCTTTACTGATGTTGCACATTAGTACCACCGCATCCAGACTTGCTTTCTCTTGCTTTCTATCAGCCAAAAAGATTCTCTGTTAGCCTTGAAATACACATGGAAATCTTATATGCAACGCACAGAATCATCACCAGTGATTTCACAGACCTTATGAGAAACAATGGTTCCATTTAGGAACATCATATTCACACTGTGTAGGAGGGAGGGAGAGAAACAGAAAGGCAGAGAGACAAAAGAGAAATCATATGCAAAAACACAGACCTGTTGCTGGAAGCTCCGTCAAGAGCGCCAAAGAAGACACAAGCACATACACAAGCGCGCCCAAGTTATTAAATGCACTGCAGGCTCTTACCTTTGAGAATGCTCTGGCCGCGCAGCATCTCCCGCGAGACGAAGACAGTGTAGAAGCTCTGGGAGAATCCAGGTCTGCACGGATCCACAGTCAGACCTTCAGGACTCCCCTGGGGAAGACAGACATTATTGGCTGTGAAATGCTGAAGATGGGTAGCAGTCAGGAAAACTGATTTGAGAGCACAGGGGTGTTAGTTCTTGTCCAGGGCTTTAGACACTGGCCTGTAGTAGGTCCACAGCACTGTTTCTGGAAGATAACTATAAGTACAACATATTTTAAGTGATGCACGATAATATCGGAATGATGCCTGTATCGGCAGATATTTGTTTAAAAATGTATCACGTTTTAGACAGATGACTCTATATGAATATGAATTAATATTTCAGACTGATATTTGATGATGTTAATGTTGGGCTACTGTGCTAAAAGTCACATTTCATCCCTAATTTCTTTAACAACATTTCACATACTGCACATCTCTACATCCTGTAAAACAAGGCCAAAGATGTTCTCTTGGACTTCCGGCATCATCAGAACTCAAACTGCAATCTCCCGACAACAAAGGGTGAACCTTAGACAGCTACAACACTTGGGAGGAAAAATCTCTTTTCAATAAAACAGGCAGTTGGTCAGTATTCTTTAAGTACTGCCGATACTCATGATATGCTCAGAAACCTCATCATGATGTAACTTATTATTGTCATAATGCATAAGCCTAACTGGGGTGGGATGGGTTCATTAACCCGTTAAAATTCCAGTCTTATGTCATCCTAAGGCTTATTACTCAGTAATTACCCTGAAAACAATGCAAACTGAGTTATTCCTAAATTACTGGAGTCAGGAATGGAAGCCCGGTCCTGCCTGGGCATTTAGGGGTTCAAAAAGAGAATGAATCACCTGTCTCAGCAGCATGCAGTGCCAATTCATGTTGGTGGCAAAAATCCTTCTTCAGGAAAATTAACAGATGTTCCTTTGTTTGGGATAATAAACAGATGGCCACATGGTGTCAAGTAAGGTATCAGCTTGACGGATAAAAGGTCCTACTTTTAAAAAGGTGAGGCCCAAAAATATCAACTGAATCCGCACATCCTGGACTTATTCCGACATTCAATTCAGTTGGCCGATAAGAGTCCATTCGAACAGGGGAATCTATTTTAGGACAGTGACCCAGTGTGTGCGTATGTGTATAATTGCATCTGCGTCTGAATGGAGAACACTCACTGTGGAGATTTAGCATAATTAGATGCCGGGTCATATGTAGGTTATTCCACTCCCAGACTGATTGGCTCTGTAATTGTCCGAGGGTCAAGCTCAAGTTTTTTAACTTTTAAAAGAGGAAGTGGCTGCCTTAAGGGACCGATCTGTCTATCTGCAGATCTATAAATCTATCAATCAATCTTCCGCCTTGTCTTCCCCTTCTCCTATGTTAATGTTACAAAATGATATGTAAATATAATATAAAACAGTCCATTATAGCCACCCACCATGCAGATGAACATACTTCTGTTGCTGCATCTTTGCTCTGGATTTCATTTCCAACTGGCTCATCAGCGCGTGAATTAATAATCAGTCATATCCAACACTGGGTGATTCATATCCGTTCAATATTTACTGGACACGGCTGGGGAAGCTTGTGCTCTGCTATGATGTGTGTGCGTGTGTGTGTGTTACAGACAGCCTATACATCTGAAGATGCTTTTACATATGTTACCTGTGAATATAGACTTGAATTGCATAATGACTCTAAAATAACATTTGGATTTTGCTATAAATATTCTATTTTACATACTAATGATAAAGTATTTAAAATGTATTTTGTAAAAAAACTCGATGCAATTCTAAGAAAAAACGACCACCTTAAGAAGCAATGGGGTGAGATGCATGCTTTGCTATGTAAGTGTTTATGTATCTCTTGGGGGGGCAGCGTAAGATCTAACTATGCAGTTCTAAGGAAAAAAAAAACTACCACCCCGCAAGTATAGAGCCACTGCTCAGATACACGAGGAGAACGTAACCGATTCATATGCCTCTTTTACAACCAGTTAACACTTAATCTGCAATGCAACACTTTTGTCTACAAGTCTGGAATCAGCTGCAGCGTTCATTCTCCTTCACTGAGCCAACAGCATCCAGGCAAACCAGCAGCAGCAGCAGCATCGCCGCATCCTCTGCAATGTAGCTGTGAGGAAAGTGCAGCTGCAGGCGAGCGCATCACACACAGCCCCACTACTGCAGCTACGTTAGCAGACTGAAGACAGGCGCTTTCACTGCTTTTCCAAACCTGTTTAAACTACACACGAGCGCCAAAACGGCCACTCAGTCCATTAAACCTAAACCCACTTTTAGCTTCATTAAAAAAGACTGAAACAACATTAAACGCTCCGTCCCTCCCAGCGAGTAAGAGCAGCGCTGAAAACGCAGATAGAAAACAATAAAACTTGTTAGTTCTACAGCAGCGCTGGTGAATTTACGTTATTTAGACAACACTTGGACTCGGTGAAAGAAATTAGCTCAGACTTACCCGTGAGCTTTCCACGGCTAAAGCGCACGCTAGAGTAACGACGAGGAGCAGGGTCATTTTGGTTCTTTTGTTTTTATATTTTCTTTTTTGGCGTCGAGACCGACCGCTGGTTCCTCGCTGGCTAATTTGCCGGCGGTTTCTCCCCCTTAGACCACAGTCAGCAAGAGCCGTGAGTGAACGACCAGTGCCCGTTGGGAAAGAGAGAGAGCGAAATACAGAGAGCAAGACAGAGAGAGAGAGAGAGAGAGAGAGAAGGAGAGAGAGAGCCTCGTCCTGGTTTGTCTCGCGACCAACCGGCAGGTGGAGGATAACGGCGCTGTTCAGCTCAGCACCGCGCGCGACTCCTCCGCTCGGCGCGTCACTGAACAAGCCCCTCCCTCCGCTGAAGAGCTGCGGTTCCTTCCCGCCCTTATTCTCCTCCGGCGCTCCGATTGGTTGGCAGCCTCCTGCCCCCGGAGCTGTGATTGGATAGTAGTTCACACTTCCAAGCAGTCCACTGTTTTACGATCCATTTAGCTGACTTAGCTCCTTTGGATCAATGGCGTTAAAAATGTGAGCTTCACAGACTTCACCGTGAGGTGTGGGTGGTGTTTTAGAATTTAGTGATGCTGGGACTCTTGGCAAAAGACAGAAATGGACCCCCCTGGATGAAAACGTCTAAATTAGTGGGGGCTCTGGCTCTGTGCTCCCCAGTGGTGCAAATGTCTACACTGCAAAAATGTCTGGGCAAGTGAAACAATCTTACATGTAGTCTATATATATAATATTTCTGATTCTGAGACGGTTATAAGAATATTATTAGTTATTATGGTTAAAAGATTATTACTTTTAGACATTTTATACTTTTTTTAAGTAAATTTATTAAGTGAAATTATCTCAATATACTGGCAGATCATGTTGCTGGTTTTAAGAAATATGCTATATCTGCCAAAACAGTGAGATCATTATGGAACAGTGTCTGATAAGAATTAAGTAACCAGTAGTAATATTACTTTTTTTCCAAGAAATAATGTGACTGAGCCAGCGCAGCACTCTGTTCTGACTGAAAAAACAAAGTAATCCCATTTGCATTTTTTTTTTTGCTTTCATCACTCTCTTTGCATTTCTCTGCTGCTCTATTTTCCCTCTCAACACTCAAAAAAACTTCCTCTCCATAATGTCGATGATCAATTGCCTTGTTTGTACTGTTCTGTCTTTACAAATTGTGTCAGGGAATAGTCATTTCTAACCATGACGAGGAGTGGGGCCGCATTGATGTATACATACACTAAATGGCCAAAAGTATGTGTATGCTTGACCATCACACATCTCACATGAGCTTGCTGGACATCCCATTCCAAAGCTATGGGCATTAATAAGGAGTTAGCCTCCCCTTTGTGGCTCTTCAGAGAAGGCATTCCACAAGACTCATAATCAGTGTTCCAGTTCATCCCAAAGGTGTTCAGTGACTTTGAGGTCAGGGATCTGTGTAGGTCATTGGAGTTCCTTCACAGTAAACTCGTCAAACCATGTCTTTATGGGCCTCGCTTTCTGGAACAGGAAAGGGCCTTCCCCAAACTGTTGCCACAAAGTTTGAAGAATATCATTATTTTAAATGTCTTTGTATGCTGTAGCATTAACTTTACCCTTCACTGGACCTAAAGGGCTGAGCCCATTTCTGAAAATAAGCCCCAGACCATTACCCCTCCTCTACCAAACTTTGGTGTTCACCCTAAGCACTCTGGTAGGTAGCGTTGTCCTGGAATCCGCCAAACCTAGATTTGTACATCAGACTTTCAGACAGTGAAGCATCATTCCAGAGAACATGATTCCACTGCTCCAGATTCCAGTGGCAGCATGTTTTACACCACTCCAGCCAATGCCTGGCATTGCGTATAGTGATCATAGGCTGGCGTTCCAGCCATGGAAACCCACTTCATGAAGCTCCCGACGCACAGTTCTTGTGCTAGTGTTGCTTCCAGAGGCAGCTGGGGACTCTGTAGTGAGTGATGCAACAAAGTAAAGGCAATTTTATGCACTATGTGCTTCAGCACTTCGGGGCCCCGCTGTATGTGTTTGCATGGTCCACTGCTTTGTGGCTGCGCTGTTGTTGCTCCCAGATGCTTTCATTTCACAATATTTGCACTTCCAGTTGATGGGGCAGATCTGGCAGGGCAGAAATTTCACTTGTGGCAAAGACGGCGTCATATGACAGTCCCAGGTTTAAATTCGCTGAGCTCTTCAGTACGACCAAATCTACTGCAAGTGTTTGTCTACGGAGACTGCATGCCTATGCACTTGATTTTATACAACTGTAAGCAATGGGTATGACTGAAACACCTGAACACAATAGCAAGGAGAGGTGTCCACATACTTTTGGCAATTTATTGTATTTTGGAATAGGTTACTTAACATTAACACATACAGAAGGTGTAATTTGTATGTTCACAAGGCCAAACTGAAACTGTGTTTACAGGTTATTACGTTGTGAATCTTGTCTATTGTGTTGTGCATTCCAATTCCTCTTATATACATTTTCCTCTGTGTGTAACTGGATCTTCGGAAGTACAAGATGGTTAATGAATCAAAATATAAATATTGCTACATGCAAGCTAACACCCATTTAACTGACATCTTAATGCCAGCATTTATAATTCTAATTCAAATGACGAAAGAACTAAACGAAATCACACTACTGCTGAACACGCTGTCATAAGCATACGTAATAAGAACTTGGAGTACATCTCAGCACTGCTTTGTGCAATGGACCAATGTCAGTCAATGTCTAAGAACGAATGACATGGTTCCTTACGAAATAGATGATACCCACCTGGGTATTGATCAAGATCAATTTACATTCTTCATAGATGAAACCCCCAACCCCCCAAAACTGGTATAGACATGCCGCTGAACTGTTCCTAGTTCTAATTTTGAGGCTGCATCTACCAAAGCTCGAATTCAAGCTTCAGCTCTCATAGATTTAGCATTTATTCATTCATTCTTTCCGTCTATTCAGTCTTTCTGGCGGAAGGCAGGGTTTATTGATGACTCAGTGGGTCACACTTCGGCAAAGAATGGAGTTGTTGCCATTTTCTCCTCAAGACAGTCGATTACTTTTCCAAAAATATCGCAATACACACTCGGTTTATAAAAAGTCTACATGTGGTTCCAAATGTGCCGTCCTCAGATATCTTAGAGTTTTTTCTGCCTCAGCTGACCATGTCACCCACAGAGTGAAAGTGCTGCTAGATTTGTTGACAGTCCGCCATAGCTACCAGAGTCCATTTCACAGTTCACTTACTTGTTGGCTATTGATTATCACTAAGGGTCAGCCTCTAGCCCACTGTGATGGTGTGAACTGACCTATGATTATCCAATGCCCATTTCAGAACACTGTGTGCTCAGTTATCCAGTTTTCTCAAAGTAGAAACAAAATCCAAAGGCTTCTGTTGACATTTTAATGATGCTGACATTTTCTGATTGGCAGCTCAATTTCCATATGAGAAAGATGAAGCCAGCCTAAGCCCATGAAAAAGTAGCAGTTCATCTTTACTGTCAATGTGCTGTCACTTTTCTTGATGCTTACATGCAGGTATTGGTACAAGGAATGGTTATGATGCAAGTCAAAGTACACCTGGGATGAGTAAAAGCACAACTTTATATCCCTTATAAGAATGGAAACCAGTAACTGCATCTGTAAATCACGCTGTTTCATCTATCACTACTGTGTCCACTAAACCTGTTTATCATGTCTATAAAGCCATATCACTGGCTTATTAGGCCCTGTGGGTTAACACAGACTGTCCACAGCAGGAATTATGATGTACACTAGTGACCTTATAAGGAAAGTTGTCTAATTATTTTTAATAAGAAGAGGAAACGAAGATTTTGTCCACTTTGTAGCTCTACACTCTTAAAAGTGCCAAAAAGAATTCTTTTAGCAGCATCATTGATTCCCTAACAAAGAATATGCTCTAGATCAAGGGTGTCAAACTCTAAAAGGGCCATATTAAAAACATCTCAACAAATTTGTGGGCCAGCTGTGTTTTCATTTTATTTTTACTTAAAATTTGCCATGAACCCAACTGGCCACTGTTTGAACATTTTGCCATGACCCCAACTGGCCACTGTTTGAACATTTTGCCATGACCCCAACTGGCCACTGTTTGAACAATTTGCCCTGACAAAACTGGCCATTGTTTGAAATATGCCAAAACTACAATGGCAAAAACAGGCACAGAATACTTGAACAATTTAAAAATAATTTTAAATATAAACAAATTGTTTTCTATAAAATAACAGACAACATTAGCTGCAGATAACTGTCCGCACTGTACAGTAGGTTTTTTAAAATTGCCCTTTCGCCTGAACTACACAATTGGCATCTTTTTTTGTTTTGTTTTGTTTTTGTGGTGCAGTCCCATAGGTCGTTGCTGGGGAGGACGTGGGAGCGCTTACGTTGCAGTGTATGCTGGGAACAATAGTGCAGTTCATAGTTAAATGGCCTAATATTAATAGGTAATTAAAAATAATTTTGCAGACTTAATAGGATTGTGCCACGAGCCTGACTTGGCCCGCGAGCCTTGTGTTTGACACATGGGCTCTTAGTTCTGATTAGCTCTGGCCCAAGAACAAAATCACTGCATTAGAACTAAATCAGGATGCACACATCAGAATAGCAAGTGCACAATATGCTGAACTTTGTTTAGACGTCATGCCTAACAAATGTTAACAAACCCCAGAAGAACCATTCACCTTTTAGCCTTCTTGCTAGCTGTGCTTGCATCATTTACATTAGCAGACATCCAGCATGCTAACCACAGACAATGCTAACTGCAGAACAATACTTTTTTGTGTTTGCAGTGATAACACAAATGTTTAAGGCATTAGCGGATGTATGCTTGCTGTCTAGGTTAATTATAGCCTTCATCCTCTACAATCAGAGCTGTTCTATCTACCTAAATGTTCACTACTGGTCTGCAGGAGTTAGCGATGCTGTTTAACAGCATTTTCCCTAAAAGCAGGGGTGCAAAAATTAAAACAAAAATAAGGGATGTAAAGCACAAAAAAGCTTTTGCATCCTCTAAAATTTGGCCTGTAGATATAGAAGCCTCCTCATAATATGTTAAGAATAATAATATAAATAGAACAATATAATAAAAGGCATAGTATAATGTTTATTCTACTGTGAAATGTTTGATAGACTTGAACAAAATAAACATACGCAGCTATGAGTAATTGTTGTTTTAAAAAAAATCCCATTTTCCAACCTTTCTATTTTAAATT